AACCCATTGGGATGCGTCTTACATTCTCCTTCCATTCAGAAACGGGTACACCTTCTATTAGGTATTCAGCCTATACAATCACTTGCGCGCGTCAGCCGATGAACAAGCCTGTTTACACTCCCAAACAATCTGAAACCGTGGGTTTTAAGCCATAGTGCGCGGCAATAGACGCCATTTGCAACAAAACCACTTGGGGCGCAGTTTGTCGACGAGGGGGGGGGGGGCATTTTGCTTTCCATAGATGTGTCGACCCATCTAGGTAGCCGTTTCTCGAGTTGACACGTTTTAGGATAGTGGCTAGACGATCTTACTTCAGCTTCACAAGAGTTCACAAGTTTTACCAGAGTGAGATTTGTAAACCGGAACTAGGGAAGCAATGATAATACAAAATGCCCCCCCCGTCGACAAACAGCGCCCCACTTTGGCCCTGCTTGACACAAATACAACTCCCTTTTTCCAGATGGAGCTGGCTTGGGAAGAGAAATTTGCACTTTTGTCAGTTCTTTTGGTGAGTTATTTTAACCAATAGGTCTCAAGGGGAGGGGGGGGGGCAAAAAAATACTTTTTCTTCCTTGACTTTCAAGGCGCTATAAGTTACACTTTATTGAAATTCTGATTGGACATTTCCACCACCATATTCAACAGCATATTGTATACTATCATGATACTCCGCCACAGCCTTCTGGACGAGCGCCATCGAGAGATTCTGCCACGCGACCGTGATTCGGTACCTGAGTTCAGCGAGATCGTTGATTTCTCCGCCACTGTAGACCACCCTGTTGAGCTCCGCCTAAACCGGGTGAACCGGGTGATTGAGGGGATTTGGGTCAGTCGACAGACTCAGATATTCTGTCTTCTTCAGGTACTCAACGACCTTCCATTCCACTTCCTACGCCCTTCGATTCCGTGTGGAGGCACCCAATCCTGTAGCAGTACGAAGTTTCCAAGAAGGTACAGGCGATGACATGAAGGCAGGATATTCTCCACGAGTTGGTCGATGTAACCGTCAGCGTTCACTTTCAGTCCGGGGTCCACGAAGAAAATATCGGTCTTCACATTCCAGGAACTTCCGGTCCATACCACCAACCCGCGCCTTGGCGACTGCGGTGAAGATGATATCCTGGACCGTAGCGACGTTGTCGGAGCTGCTCGATGTTGGAGGTCTTCCAGATCAAGAGTACTGGTCTCCAGGTAGCTATCCATGGGTGACTCCATACAAGAAGTTTCGCAGCTTTGGAGGTGACGTGAATTCCAAAGGCCTTCTCCAGTCAGGCTGCGACTGGAGATGACTTCATATTTTGGTGTACATGAAGGTGATGGGCGAGAGCCTGCTCCTGCTTATCGAGGAACATCTTGGGTATCTTGGACACCTTAGTTGCAAGAATTTGCAAGTCTTCACAAGGAGTCCTGCGCAGGTTTCGCTGAGAATCAATTGCTGCCCCCAGCAAGCTATACTACGCCCTACAGAACCCCTCTTAATGCAGCCCAGGCATGCATCTTGGGTTACCACGATCGCCTTTGATTATCGTGCGCCTTGCAAGGCTGTCAGGTGGAACTTCTATCCAGGCGGCCTATGTTTCGGAAGCCTTATCTTCAATGTCAGGGTTCCATACATTGGGCGGGGGCATCCGCTTCCACTTTTTAGTGTTAGTAAAAAGCCAGTTTAACTAGCCCTTACAACTTAGCACTTACTAAAGCAAATTCTGCTTATTACTAAGCTCTAGTGTGGTAGCGGGTTCGTCCACCCAATAGCTGAAACCCTGGACCTCGAAGGAGGCGATTCAGTCCAAACGTTGGTCGCCTGGATAAAGTTCTACCTACCAACATCCTAAGGCACATAAACACTACCAACTGATTATGCCAAGGTTGCAATGGAGAAGTGGAAGTTCTATGTATCCCACAGGGGTCAAGCGTGCTTCGTTGCAAATGGCGCTGCTTAGGCAGCGTTCAGACTTCGCGACGGCAGCGCTTCGGTCGCGCGATTCGACGATCGATGCGCATGCTTTCGACTGCATCGATCGCGTCGAACGCGCGACCGAAGCGATGCCGTCGCGAAATCTGAACGATGACTCACCGTGCACCACGGTCCGGGAGTAAAAGTTCGCTTCGGCTCACAGGATACAACTCCCAAAGTTTCTGCTGGAATCATGACAATTACCAGAACAAACTATCAGCAAAAATAGGCCGACTTCCTCAGGAGCCCGATAACATTCAGCATTTCCTCAGGTAACCATAAAATGACTAAGTCATGAAAAAATCTTCTGATGAGAAGGTCAATCCAGTTCGCAACATCAAAAAAAATAACACAGAAATATATTCATAAATATCGTGCCTTAGTTTATTCTGCATGAAGTGGCCAGATATTTGTCCGTCATCAACGCGAAATACATACGTCAGTGGCCTCATCGCGCCACCAAACAATGATTCCAAGTTTATTTTACGACTTCATAAAGGGGCCTACAGCACACCATTATCTTCCTGCAACTCACGGAAGGACCTGTCTTGAGATTTTGCAGTAGCACTATACACAGCTTCATACAGCACATGAACATACTCTGGATCGGAAAGAGGTCCACCACATTGTTGGGTTATTTTACTACTTTTGCTACTTTTCGCGCTATTCTACTGAAATGCCTCAGGAAGTTAGTTTTTTTAGGAAACAGCATATAAATATCCTCAGAATTTTCCAAAAGTTTCCACAGCCTTTCACATCAACGTAAGCCCTCTCAATGACCCACCTAAAACCTCCTCCCCACGCAACTGAAACATGACCCGCCCAAAGCGGATCCCTCAAGAATGATGTGCTCCGTCTGAAGCTCCGTAACTGCCACAATTTCTGAATATTTCAGTCCTCATCATTGCGGACTGTCGGGTCGCAATCAGCGGTTCCCACCTGCGGCCTTCCCACCAGTGGCTGATTCCTTCCTACATCGATCATGCTCGATCACCATTGGTAGAGCAAGGCGGCCGGACGCGAGCTCGTGCCGCGCTGCGCTCGCCGCCCCGACAAATTGCAATGTTACAAACTATCGTTTCCTACCCGCCATAGTATCTATACTTTTCCTCCATACTAGTCTTCTTTTTCGGGTTTTTTGGTAAGTTGCCATTTGAAACTAAGTATTTCTAGAAGAGGCGGAGGTGGTGTAGTGACAAGTGGCGCGCTTACCACTCGCGCGGCGCCGGGTTCAAATCCCGGGTCGACTCCCGCCCAGGCCAACGTAAGCCATTCTATCCCCCTGGGGAGCGGTAAATTGGTAACAGATTATCTGGAGGATAAAAACAACTGACTTGTAACTCGGCTGGCACCGCAAGTCATTCGTATAGGCGCACACATTCAATAACGCGACCTACGTATTTAAATGGAAGTATTAGGTTGGCTAATAAGTAATGGCGGTTTTTTCAATTGAAAAATTTGTTCGAAAAGTGTGAAAAATTTGTTCGAAAAGTGAAACGTTTTGCAAGCAAGTTATATATCATCTGATAGGAAACTTCTCGTAGTATAAGAATATCAAAAAAGCTTTGGTTGAGGATATAGTTTTTGTGAATTTTTTAGTCGTTGAAGTTGGAAGTGAAGTCGGCGAAAATTAGCATCTTCGACAACTGCCTCTATTTACGTCTACTCGAAGTGCTAAAATCGCTTAAGCTGCTCCATACATTCGGAAAAGGTTGAGGTAGAAGTCTCAGCAAGGGAATCTCAATAGGACGCTTTGGAACTAATTTCAAGAATTTCAAAGTTGGCAACCTTCACCTTGCCAATATTGGGCAGGCTCACGTCTGTTCCACCTGAAATTTCATGCTAATAGTTGAATTAATTGAATTTGAATTTGATATTCTAATACTAACAGTTGAATTAATTGAATTTGAATTTGATATTCTAATACTACGAGAAGTTTGCTATTAAACGATATTAAGCTTGCTTGCAAAACGTTTTACTTTTGGAACAAATTTTTCGATTGAAGAAAACGGCCATTCTGCTAGTGGGCTGGCTAATAAGTAATGGCCGTTTTTTTCAATTGAAAAATTTGTTTCAAAAGTGAAAAGTTTTGCAAGCAAGCTTAATATCGTTTAATAGCAAACTTCTCGTAGTATTAGAATAAATCAAATTCAATTAATTCAACTATTAGCATGAAATTTCTAAATAGAGGCAGTTGTCGAAGATGCTAATTTTCGCCGACTTCACTTCCAACTTCAACGACTAAAAAATTCACAAAAACTATATCCTCAAGTTTCCTATCAGATGATATATAACTTGCTTGCAAAACGTTTCACTTTTCGAACAAATTTTTCAATTGAAAAAAACGGCCATTACTTATTAGCCAACCTAATAGAATGCGTGCCGCATCCCACAAAGGGATTGATCAACGGCGAAGTCTTTATCTTTTTTAGTCTTTATTTCTAGAACTCCAAGTCTGTTAAAAATCCTCAGGAGCGTGGAGGCACAAGTTCGCAGGAAAGCCTAGAACTACGCGTCGGGAAAACCGAATAAGCAGAACGATTGGGTGTAGTAAGACACACCCTATACCATGGATATGGAAAGGGCGGGGCAGCCTACTTCATTTGATCACAGAGTAAAATTCTTTTTTCGCATCGTCCATTTGATGCAACTATCATCTCATCTCGTGGTGGAAAAAGCGCGCTCACAGTTGTTCTGCGAAAGGACAATATCTTACTAGAAGCGCAATTGCCGTAGGTTCCGAAGAATTGCGCAGCCACGCCCTCCTCACCTCCTAGATACGGTGTATATATTCTGGAACCGAAAACCAGTTTCCTTCGTCCGTCTACCTTATTCTATAATGATGTACCCTCCTGCGCTTTCAGAATAAAGACATAGCAGTTCCTCCCGCAGTACTGTTAATGAGCAGACATTACTGGAGCTCTCGAACCGCTAGTTCCGGCTATCATGGAAGCATGAAATTCCTAGATTAGAGCGCATAGCTCTACGGAATTCATGAGAGGATGAAGAAATAATCACGGCACTATGCAAACATTTGCTAGTCCCAGTGAAAAGCAAACATTAAGGAGCAAAAGTGCAAAAAATCGTGCAGTGGGCATAAAATTCCGCTCAACAAATAATCCCTGTTATCAAGCTTGAGAGGTCATTAGTAGAAAAAGGGAATAAAAAAAGCTCAAAAAATCTCGGATTTGGGTTCCGTCTTCTTCACAATTCTGCTCCAGTAGTCCATTTTTTTAGGTACAAAATAAAAACCATTGTTGAGTCAGTTCACACTTGTCCCTACGAATCAGCCCACCTGGATCCTTTTTCCCTTGTTGAACGAGAGATTACTGGAGTGAAAAATGATCGACTAACCTCCTCATCCTCCTCTTTGAGAGTATTAGTCGAGATCCTTGATGACCTTCCAGTGATATCCGAGGGCGGATATGAGTCGACAGGGCGCTCACGGCTAAAAGTAATAAAATAAAGTAAGTAACAGAGTAAGTGAGTAACAGACCTATAGATAAGGGTGCACCTCAATATTCCAGAAACAAACAGATTTTGATAAATAGTCTCTATCTAATCTCAGAGTCTATAAGAACAAGCCCAGTAAGGCCTCGTTCAGACTTTGCGACATAGGAAATGAAGGAAATTCGGGGATTCGAAGGACCGAGGGACGATGAAAGTGCAAGTATCGATCTGACGATTAGGCGCAGAACCGCACGAAACGCCGAGTCGTTCGAAACGCCAGATCGCCGAAAGGAGTGGATGGGTAACGATCGGCACCGGTTGCCCGCGACTGTGGAGATTCCGCGATCAGGCGTTTCAGGAGGTTGAGCGATATGGCGATCTGGCGCAACTTCGCGCCAAGCGAGTGGTTGGTTGCCGACCGGCGTCGGATCGCCGATTATCCCCAGTCGCTGGTTCGATACCTACACTGTCCTCGTCGCGCGACCTCTTGGATCGTCCAGTCTCCCAAACCACAAAATCTCCTCAGGCGCACAGCATAATGCGGCCTTACGAATGAACAAACCTGTGCTGTGGGAATATGGGAGGGGCAACGACTCGTGGACGTTCTTTCTGAATTTCGGAAAGACGTCGCATCGCCTCTTCACTGCGGCTTCTCTCTCGCTCCAACTCAGTCGACAGCTCTGCTTCCGCGACCGCTCTGCCGGCAATTTCATCATGGAGAGCGCGCAACTCCTAAGAAAATTGTTTAAAACACACTTAAAACCTAAGGTGCTCCCTCTTTTCATAAAGAAGAAAGCCACGAGCGTAACACCTTAGTCTTGATCGCTGCGGATGAAGGGGCGTGCCATGCGCGATGGGTTTGTTTGGTTCGGCGACTGACCCGCTCTCCCACAGCTGATCAAGCGAGCAAATTGTTCGTACCAATCATTTTCCACCAAGCGTTGTCCTTATCCGCTTCAACAACTGGCAGATAACGAGTATGGCACAGTGCCAAACCCCTCCCACCTGACACGCCCCTTCATCCGTAGCGAACGAGACCATGCACAATATTTCAGCTCACCTTTTGTTTCTCGTTCACTTCAGTTTCGAACTCCCTTTGGAGATCCATTAGCCGCATATGCAATTTAACACGTTCAGCAGTGCGAAGCTTCAGCATCATTTGGCAATTTAGCAATTCTTCGTTGCTGTAAAAAACCATAATAACACAATGATAATCGTAAAATGAAACAAAAATACGAATAAATCAATTAATATACGTTTTATTCGTTTGCTTCTGCTCTTCCACCAATTGAGCTTTAGCATGGCGATTCGCTATTTCCAATTTTGTACACTGGTCACGGTACTTCCTTGCATCACTAAGTACAGCCTTGTGGGCGACTCTGTAAATATGAACAAACTGGATTACTACTTTATTAGTTTACGAAGGGAATCCAGTGTTTCTTAGGTCACAACAGAGGAAGCAGTGAAAACTGTTTAAAGGTGAAATAGATAAAGCCTTCGCTGCTAAGCAATCCCTTTTTGGGATGCAACGCGTATTCTACTTAGATTCAGAACAGTAGTGGCTTATTGAATGCGAAGTGGCCCATACAATGACTTGGGGGGGGGGCCAGCCGATGTAGAAGTCTGTGTTTTATGCTCGCTCGCTAATCTGGAACCAATTTACCGCCTCCTGATAATAAAAGGCTTGGCTAGCTTGAGCGGAAGTCAGTTCGGGATCAGATCCCGGACCGCGCGCGCGGTAAGCGTGCCACTACCACTGCACCACCTCTACCTCGAAAATGGTATAGCTTTATCTATTTTTAAATTTCTACCACTTGAAGCAACTATGGAAAATAGTAACGGAATAAGATATTAGTGGCGCCGCCAACTAGAGGAGGGGAGGGGGGGGGTGGTATTTTACCACACATGAAACGATCAAAATCGAGGAAAGTCAACAGAAAATTTTCTTTCAAGACCAGATACCTCCATCGGCGGAATAGGATCCTGCTCCTCACCAACGACCAAGTACGACCCCACTGATGGGGTCCTGGTTCCCAACGATGCAGTGCCCAAGTGGAGAGACAACTGCATGCTCCGCTGTCTCTCCTCGTCGAAAGTGCGACGCGTGCCAAAGTCCAGCGAACAATGGCGCCAAACGAGAGGACGCAGACAAGTAGCCCGTCTTTTTATGGTTAGGAGTGTGACTGGCCGTGGGGCGTGTTTCGTGGCGTGCTTTGTTTGCACGTGGATACATAAAGTACACCAACTGTCGCAACTTTCTAAGTTCACTGTCGTGCACTTCCAGATTAAGAAATGTGGCAGCTGTTTACCTACTCATCTCGTCTGCGTAGAAGACCAACCTGCACGACGCACAGCTGGTCTTCAAGTAAGACTCTCATGGCCGAATGTCCCCCCCCCCTTGCAATCACGCTGTTCTAAACCTAATTACAATGGTGATCATAAAGTTTCAGAAGAAGTAGAATTTCTTGAATGAGACATTTTCGGTCCTGCACCTTAAGATTCTTTACACCGTAAGTTTTTGCTCGCCTTCTCCGCAAAGAACGCGTCACGCGCTACTTACCGCGCTAATTTTAGAAGAACCATTACTCACGCAGCGCTAGCAGCCATTGCGGTCCAACGTCCAACGTGTGAGGGGTCTAAAATTGCCTTTAAAAATGGAAATTGGTCTCAACTATGCACTCTGGGCATCGTATCTATGAAGTTAACTGTACTAGAGCAGCAAACATGAAACCTTAGTCTTAGTGGGTTCAAACAGGGCATATCACTGGTTGAAGATTTTGCTCGAGTCCGTACAACCCCCGCTCCCTTTGAAGGGGGCTCGATAGAACCTCTCTCTAGTTCCCTCCTCACCCACTCAGAGTGGTCGAGGGGGGAGGGGGGATATTTTGCACATGTAAAACACGACAAGTGGCGAGGAAATTTTGACCCCCCCCCCTCTAAAGCCTTCCTGAAACAAAAAATCAACTACCGAAAAATTTTGCTCAGAATGAATACGACCCCTCTCCACCACCAACCAAATACGATTCCCGTGTTGGGAATACCCCAATGATGATGTGCCCTGGGTTCAATCTTGCTCGCTTGTCCCGACAGAGTTCGCCGGGTAGAGCGGGAGAGGGAGACAGGCATCCGATTAATATAAAATGCAGTAAAATTGCAGGGCCACCGGTCCAAGGGGGTGGGGGGGGGGTGAAAGTGAGGAGATGGAGCACGTCAGAAAAGGTAATCAAAGGTAAAAATCAACAATGAAAAAAATCTACCAGGCCAAATACGACCTTTGCCCTCGTCGAGAATTACTACACAATGATGTGCCCTAAGTGTAGTGCTGCTACGGTTTGAGGGCAATTTCAAAACCTTTGCTTTCTTTCATTCCGGTTTCATCTCAAACGCCATAAGTCTCAAGTTTCTTCAGTTCTCTAAACTAATTGCTAATAAAAAATACAGGAACTTACGCAGACTTTACACACATCTTTAATTGGCATGGCCTACTTCTTTGACAACGAACGCTGTAATCGATTTGATGAATTGTTTTCACAATACCTGATGACTTCTGCACATCTGTCACCAACTCCTGACGCCCACCTTCAGTCGAATAGGTCAGGCGTAAGGGGTGTGGGGAAGAGACGGAACTACACTGATATGACCCCTTTTACCTTGTTGTGCTAGCACACGATCACCACTTCCAGCAATAGACATCTGCATTAACCAAGCATTACAGTATAGTGATAGTTATGGTTATATAAAAATGCGTTCATACTTTTCCTTAGCGTTTTGAGCGACTAGAAAAGCACAGTTATCGATTTAGTGCATGTCAGCGTTTCAAGCGTACGCCAGCGTATGGCAGCGTCTCGAGCGACTAGGAAAGTATAGGTATCGATTCAGCACTTTGAGTGCATATCAGCGTTATCGGCGAATACCCACGAAACGCTTGAAATGCTGTCGCACGCTCAAAACGCTGCAGTACGCTGGCACCGCTGGGCATGTGGTAAGAAAATCGTAATTCGCTGCGTCAGTGGGCGTCGCGTGCGACGTCGCGCCCGCTAATGACGACGATTTTAGGTGGTATTGGTCGAGAATAGACAATGTGACCAAAAATAGACATAAGTGTCTACCATGTCCTTGTCTACATGAAATCCGATGCTCCAATCGAAAGGGTAGTGCAAATTAAGGAAACGTCGCGCCCATTGCCGCGCGGACGAAGCGGCAAGTTACGATCCTCTTGCCCGTCTTCTGACACCGCTGGCGTATACTCGAAACGCTCAAAAACTCGACG